CTAATTGGCTCGCCGCGACCGCGTGACCCCGCGACGAATCCCGCGGGTCCTGGCGTGTCGCGGATCCTTTTGCTCTATGGCGCGCTTTTCCAAATAAGGCGGAAAATGCTTTCTGGTCGCTCGAGGATCTTCCAGTGATCTTTATGGGATACGGCGCTTCGGCTGAGGTCCTGCCCGTTAATCCGTTCCCAGCTGACGTCTCTCTCCGAGGCGTCTGCAATAATCGTGCGACAATTCACAGAAGAATGGCGACATTACAGTAACAAATATGAAATAATACGACCTGCGTGTGCCGCGCTTCCCGCGATTCCAGTCAAATTCCTTTTACAGTAATGTCTCCCTCGCAGCAGGCGACGTCTTCTTTCTTCTCGTGATGGGTGAGGCGGTCAAACACAGAGAGACAAAATAGCCACCGGCTTTGATCGTAATTAATAATGAAATCCGAGCTCAGGATCGTCTTAACGTTAGCTAAAACTTAACTAAATAGCGACAAGAACAAGAAAAAGAAGAAAATAATACAATAATCGCAAAAAGAGAATAAAAATAAGTAACACAATAATCGCAAAAAGACATAAAAATAATTAATAATGTCGCACATTCGCCTGTGCGCTCGCCCGTTGACCCTGAAGGACCCAGGATCTCGCATTGTGCTGGTTTTCTGGGTGACTGACAAAATGTCACGTCACAATACATATTTTATTGAAGACCTATTAATGATTACAATTTTATTAAATTTCAAAATTTTTTTAACAACACAAAAATGTAAAAAATATTTTTGCTATTTTAAACATTTACGGTATACATATTTTGCATAAGATATAGAATTTTCATTATTCGGTTGACTTATTTTTTGTCTTCTGTATCGAAGTATTGGATGCGAGTCTGTAAATAAGAATACAATTTTATTTAGTTAAAATATCCTAAAATAAATAACTCGTATTATATATACATATATATACGTGCTTACTTGATCACGTTCTCTGCAATGTTAGTTCGATATATCGTCGTTAACACGAGAAAAATGATATGAAATTCTCGCTCAATGATTGCCGGATATTTTACATTTAAGGCATCGTAAATTTGTTTTTCAAGAATATTAGCAACAGTCGTAATGAAATGTACGACGCTACATAAATCTATTTTGAAATTACTTTTCTTTGTAATTTCTGTATGTAATTGTTCGATTAAACTTTTAAGCTTTTACAATAATTAACGCATTCGGTGATTGCTTCAAGGCTTCTTAAACGTTCATTGATACATACGCATATCTCTTTAAGGTAAATATCTAGAAAAGGGGAGCCCCCTCCGATGATCTTGATCTTGACATATGTTGTCAAGGTCACGACTCTGAGTGACCTCCCGCAGGTTTTAGGTGGCGGTCGCTGTCCGTTAAAAAGTTATTAACAAAAAAAGTTTCAAAATTAACGTATTATTTCTGCCATATATGTATTATAACAAGTACTATTTTACATCTCCTTCCGTTTAGAAACGTTAAACTTTTCACGCGAAGTAACTCTTACCTCCCCCAACCCCCTGCGAAGGGGGTCTCGACTTTTACGATTGTACTGTTGCTATGATAGTACTGTCGGGGCAGACCTTTGTGACGGTGTGGGTGCGGGGGGGGGGGGGGGGTGGCCGAAGGCCACCTCCTTGCACCCGCGCGCGCGCGCGCGTGTGTGTGTGTGTGTGCGCGCGCGCGCGCGTGTGTGTGTGCGCGTGCGTGCGTGCGTGTGAAATATCAAGTAATAAACTCATAATCGTTATATAACGAATGGAACCCACACCGTCGACAGAGGTCTGCCCCGACAGTACAACCTGAATCCAATATGTCCGTATATATATATTTACCTTTATATTTGATAATTATCTCAATATTATCCTATGAAATAATTTATTATTATTTATCAGGTCTCTATTACATTTGTCCTATTTTTTACAACATCTTTACAAGTATATCCTGCTAAATAATACATTATTTCATAGAATAATTTTGAGATAACTACCAGACAAATAAATAATAATATAGTAACAGGCAACTCACAAAATAAACACAATGATGAGAAAATCAAGATTATGCCCTATGTCTCGTCCGGATGGATATAACTATGTAGTCGTGCTCCTGCACGCACATTCGCAACAGCTTTCAAAGAATAGCGCCAAAAGGAAAAAGCGCTGCCTCGTGAGCGTCATGTACTAGCGCCCGTTAGCGCTCCCGCGCATCGGCAGCGCGTCGCCATGTCATTGTGTTCTGTTCGTTGCATAAGCAACAGTCTTTTTCAGTGTTCTTGATACCACTGCTTTATTATGCCTCACAAGCATAAAAAAGTGGTCAGACAATCGAGAGAACGTCGTCGGCAGAAGAAATCAGGTAATCGTGTACGGGATTATTCGTAGAATCGCTCGCAAAATCAGAAGCGAGGAACGGAATCGCCGGTCTCCCGCTCGTCGAGGGAACGGATTTCATCGCGGGAATGGCTTCGGACAAGGGAATCCCCGGCTCCCCGCTCTCTATCCATCGAGAGATTTCTAGATTTTCTAGATCAGGTGCGCGTGATATTTACTCAGCAGACACGCGACCATAACCTCTCCAGCCAGAAGGTTAGCTCACAGCCAGGGGACGCCGCGCAGATGGATTCATCCCCACTAGCATCGGCGACTTATACGTCGGCCTCGATGCAAGCATCGGCGACTAATACGTCGGCCTCGATGCAGGGAATAAAAGGACCGGCGGTCGCTAGTTTCGACCGTGGCGTCGTACCAGGTGCGTCCTCTTGTCGACCCAGTTAACTCTGGCATAGAGAGGCGTATCCGACGGTTCCTTTTTCCCAGGTGCGTCCTCTCGTCGACCCAGTCATCCTGGCATAGAGGGACGTATCCGACGGTTCCTGTTTCCAAAGGGAGAAAATTCTCTTTATGACTTTTTCTTGAAATTTTTTCTTGAAAATTTTCCTGAAATATTTTCTTGAAATTCCTTCTTTTTATAGTCTCTGACGAGGAAGGACAAATTTTGACGCCTTCTCAGGAACCTACGCTTACGGAATTTTCCATCGCCGATCCCTCGGGCCCCCTGGATACGAATCCAGATGTGGATGCACAAACTTTGTCTTTCGAGCGGTTCGGTGAAACGTTGAATCTCGTAGTGGGATGGACAGCGAGGCCCGTTCACGTCTTTTAAAGAAATACGAACCTATTTTTGGCCTCACCTAAGCTGAATAAGGAATTAGCTGCAGCTTTAACACCGACTGTTATTAAACGGGATGAGTACCAGGGACTTTTACAGGCTCAGGTAGGTGCGTGCCTCAACGCTTTTGGTTCAAGCATATCAATTTTGCTGAATACGGTGGGCTTGCACACCAGTAACGAAGAAGTGAAATCGATTTTGACATTCTTTGTGGAAGGTATTCACCTTCTCTTCGATCATTACTATCGCCTTTCGCTAAATAGAAGGGCTTTTACCAAGTATTCTCTAAATATGGGGTAAGAACGCGGCGGATACGGCACCGTTCGACGAATTCTCTGTTGGGTCAGAATTTCGCCGATACCTTAGAGACGGCATAAATCTGCGAAAAAACGGGTCGCGAAGTCTCAAGATCCATATCTAAAAAAAAAAAAAAAATCTCTACACCAGTACGACAGGCAGCATAAAGGCAACCTCAAGCACCTAGAGTGCCACTTTCGGAAAACAGGAAGGCTTCTGTCCGTTCATCGGCGGCTCGCAGGTCGGGAGCCCCCTTTTCGCAGCAGCCGCAATCGTCGTTCCCGCTCACGGTCACGAACTCGACGTCGTCATTAGACTAAAAAGTAAGGACCGCAGGTCGCTTAGGCGCATTTTATGAAAATTGATTAGAGATTACTTATGACTCTACAATTTTAAATGCCATTCAGGGCTATCGCATTCCGTTTTTTCATAGAGTTCCTCCGTGATGTATACTCTCCGAACCAGTGTTTTCTCAGTCTGATAAGCTTTCGTGCGACTCAGAAATAAAACGTTTACGGTTTAAAGGAGACATTGTTCCGATGGGACCTTATGAGAATCAATTCTTATTTTCATTCTTTTTTATAGATAAATCGTCTGGAGAAAAACGGTTCAGCTTAAATTTTTGAGACTTGAATAAATATATTTATTCAATATAAATATAACCGCCACGTTTTAAAATGAAAGATGGGCCAACGGCCATTTGTTTGATGCTCCCTGGGACGTGCATGGCTACCTTAGATCTAGAAGACGTTTACCTACTTGTCCCCATTTTCGAGGAGCACAGAAAATTTCTACGTTTTCAGTGGCAGGAAGTTACCTACGAGTTTACAGCATTACCTTTTGGTCTCTTCACGGCACCTTTCACTTTTACAAAAATTTTTTAGACCAGTAATCACTTATCTACGCAGCAGGGGATATCAATCGGTTCTATATTTAGACAACCTCCTTCTCTTAGGAGCTTTGATTAACGAGTGCCAAACGAATCTTACTAAAACCACAAACTTTCTGCAATTTCTTGGTTTTATCCTTAATTATTCGAAATCTTGTCTGAAACCCTCTCACATCTGCGAGTATTTAGGATTTATTTTTTAAGTCTGTAGTCCAATCCATTCCAATTCCTCCTCTACGTAGGAGAAAATTACTTCGCTTAACATCTTCTTTAGCTCGCAAGAAAATCTGCATTACAAAAATCTTTGCCAGCTTTATCGGCTCGCTTATCTCGGTATGCCCAGCAGTGCAATACGGTCTTCTTTACACCAAATCGTTAAAAAAAATAAATAAATAAAATTCTTAGCCCTTTCGGAAAATTAGGAAGACTACTCACTAACAATGTCTATTCCCTCACACCTTCATAGTGTCTTTAAATGGTGGATTAGAATTTTTTCTAATCAACACCAATCCAATAAGATCCGTTCTTGGAACTTTGTTCGGGAAATCTTTACTAAAGCCTCTCTAAACGGTTGGGACACTTCTTGTACGGTTTTACATACTCATGACTGGTGGTCGCCCTCAGAGAGATCGCTCCATAGAAATACTTTAGAACTCAAAGTAGTTTTTAATGGTCTCCGTTGCTTCGCTACGGATTGTCAAGACTGCAACATCTTGCTTCGGGTCAACAACACTACGGCTTTAGCATGTATTAACAAGTTTGGCTCTATACAATTCCCCCACTTTTCAAGTATCGCAGCTCAGATTGGGCAAGGGTATGAGGACCGTAACATTTTTGTTTTTACCTCTTACATCTCATCAATGGAAAATACAGTAGCTGAAACGGTATCCAAGTTAGCAGAACCGGATACAGAATGGTCTCTCTTTGAAGAGGCCTTCCTTAGAGTATCTGAAATGTTTGGACCTTTTAATGTAGATCTATTTGCTTCAAGGAATAATAATAAATGTAATGCGTATGTATCGTGGTTTCCTGACCTGGGCGCTATAGCGATAGACGCTTTCACCTTCTCTTGGGAGAATTTAAATTTCTATGCTTTCCCCCCTTTTTATTTTACTACCACGAATTTTGAGGAAAATTGTAGATGACAAAGTAAGGGACACATTAGTGATACCTTGGTGGCCTTCTCAGGAATCACCACCCAGCATGAAGATCACTTTCCCTGGGGGTCGTGAAACTATCAGGAGAGCGTTCCTAACACACTCAATGCCTCCGGCAGCTATTCCAGCTCTTCTCGCCTCTTTTTCAGAATCCACGTTTAAACAATACTCTTACCCGCTACGCGCATGGTGAATTTACTCTCAGCGTCAGGGGGTACCTCTGTTTACTCTTTCGGCCTCCCAAACATTAGAGTTCTTAGTGCAGGAATTGCCCAACATTTTTTCTTATTCCAATCTGAATATTATGAGATCAGCAATCTTTTTAATCTCTCATAACGAGATTGGTAACCACCCTTTGGTGAGACGCTTTTGTAGGGGCGTGGCAGCATTGAATCCACCACGTCCACGTTATGATTTGGTCTGGGATCCAGCCCCAGTAATATCTAAACTAGCCTCTTTCTATCCTTACGAGGATCGTTAGAAACCATTACGAAGAAATTAGTTTTGCTCATTGCGCTTGGCACAGGACACCGTGTTCAAACTCTGTGCTCTTTTAAACTATTGCAATTTTCACTTGACGAGAAATTAATAATCCGCGTCCCGGACCGGATTAAAACCTCAGCACCAGGTCGTTTTCAACCTTTCTGTTGCTTCTCCCATTTTGAGAACCATAAAAACCTTAGATAGTGCTTCTTTTGGAACACTATATTAACAGAACGAAGGACCTTCGCCCTTCTACTTACGACTCTCTTTTCATTTCCGTCTCGAAACCGTTTAAGGCATTAAACCCAAACGATTAACCGCTGGATCAAACAAGGCCTTCAAGAATGCGGAGTCGATATAGCTAGATTTTCGGCTCACAGCACCAGAAATGCTTCAACTTCACGAGCAGCCGAGAAAGGAGTCGCTACGAATTTAATCAAATGCGCTACAGGCTGGATTTGGAGAATCCCGAGTTTTCACTGATTCCTACAAGAGACCAATTATCAACCTGGAAGAATTTACTAATGCAGTCCTTCTGTCTTGAAAATTTTTTCTTTTTACTACTGCGCTAGAAGGTAATCAAATATATTTGTTTGAGTATACATTCTTGCTGAGTATAAAACAGCTTAATAAGGACAGTTTCTTTTAGTTTCCGAACAAATCGCTTCTTTGAACAGCTACATAGTTATATCCATCCGGACGAGACATAGGGCATAATTGTTAGATTGAACGAACTCACCTGTGAAGTTCAATCCTGATTATGCCCGTGGTCTCGTCCGGATGGACCACCCGCCCTTTCTTTTTCTCCCACCCTTAAAACAGCGATTTGTTTCTTCAACTGCTTGGAACTAATGACATGGCGACGCGCTGCCGATGTGCGGGAGCGCTAACGGGCGCTAGTACATGACGCTCACAAGGCAGCGCTTTTTCCTTTTGGCGCTATTCTTTGAAAGCTGTTGCGAATGAGCGTGCAGGAGCACGACTACATAGTTATATCCATCCGGACGAGACCACGGGCATAATCAGGATTGAACTTCACAGGTGATTGAGAAAATCAAGATTACGCCAGATATAAAATTATTTGGTTTTAGTACACATTGCCTTTTGAGGATGACAAATAGTTTTCTGGATATTTTAGTAAATGGTATATAAATATATGACAGAGATTGGTACAGGCCTTTCCTTTCAATAAATCTAAAATTATAATTTAGTACAAAGGATCAGTTCTTTTATAATTATGTGAAAAATAGAGAGAATAAATTTATAGAGATTCTAAAATTATCTGATACAATATTAATTCCAATCATTTCAGATATGTGTAGAATTTCTATTAATTTGTTTTCTCAATTCTTTATATAATATAATTGTAAAAGAACTGATTCTTTGTACAGTCCTTTTTTTCAGATTGAAAAAAAAGGCCTGTTATTATTTTTACAAAATAGTAGGAAGTGAATTTTGAATCTTCCCGATTTAATGTAACCGTCTGACGTGATTGCTGACCTGATATCTCTTTGTTACGTTTACACATTTTAAAGTCACCAAGCACGCTTCTGATTCATGGAATTACCGTGAAATTATTAAGAGATAGCTTCGATATCGTATTAGATAAGTTTTCTAATATTTGTCCTCTCTTTTCTCTACATAATTAAAAAAGAACTAATTCTATATACTGTATTTTATTTCCAGATTTATTGAAAGAAAAGGCCTGAATCCAATCTGTCTGTATAATACACCTTTATATTTGATAGTTATCTCAATATTATTCTATGAAATAATTTATTATTTATCAGGTCTTTGTTGCAACTCAGTATTATTCTATGAAATAATTTATTATTTATCATCTATTTTTTACAATATCTTTACAAGTAT